TTTTACCCAAAACAAAAAGTATATTTTGGGAAGAAAATTTAAGGATCTCCCTCTGTAAAATAAAATGGCATCAGCAGTTCCTTACTCCTATATTTTAAAATGTCTGTTCTTTGGAGTTAAAAATAGCTAATCAGGGCTGAAGATTTAGTTTAGTGGCACCGCACCTGCCTCCCAAGTGCAAATTCCTGAGTTTGATCCCAAGTAGAGGAAAAAAAATAGCTAATCATTTCATCACATACCTAGATTATATCTCTATTATTTCACCGCTTACTGCTCCAAAGGAACACTCATCCATATTTCAACTCCTGTCACAAAACAGATAATTTGAATGATCTACTCTTCCATCAAATACAAGGATTCTAACTTAATAAATCAACTTCTGAAAGTCTAACTTGATGGCTAAAATAATACAACTGTAAATCAAATGTCCTCTATTTTTCTGTTAACCTCACTAAATAATTTTTTCTTTAGTTCTCCTTGGATTCTTACATCGAAAGGTAACAACAGCTACTTCCAAGAGTTTAATCTGATATGTGAAATTCCTTATTTCAAAAGTTGTAACACTTGGTGCAGAAATATTAGTAAATATATTTTTGCCTTAATTTGGATATTTTCTTCTTATCCTTTCTTGCCATTTCACAAACTGAAAAAGTAAACTTTATGGTCATTTGTAAAAATTACTTCGAATATATATTATTATTTTTTTTTTTTGGTTTTTTGAGACAGGGTCTCACTATGTAGTTGAGACTGACCTGGAACTCACTACGTAGCCCAGGCTAGTCTCCAACTCACAGTGATCCTCCTGCCTCAGCCTCCCAAGTGCTGGGATTACAGGCATGCGCCACCACTCCCGGCTTACTTCAAATATATTTTGACACAAAATAGATGACTAAAAAAATAAGAAAGGGTTGGGAATGTAGCTCAGTGGCATAGCGCCTGCCTGGCAAGCACAAGGCTCAGAGTTTAATTCCCGGTACCAAACAAAAAACAAACAAAAAAGAAAGAAAACTAGCCACACTCTGTGGCACATGCCTGTAATCCCACAGCTCTAGGACACTGAGGCAGGAGAATTCGAAATTTGAGCCCATTCTAGGCAACTTAACAACATTCAATCTCAAAATTTAAAAAGGGGGGTCTGCTAATTCATTTTGAAAAATAAAGATAATATTATGGTTTATTTTCTGAAAAGTGTATGAACACGAAAGCTGACAAAAAAGAATAAATCTATCTTACCTCAGAAGAGGGGATGTCTGGGAATGTAACTGAGTTTGAAGGTCCTAGGTTCAATCTCTTGTATGAGGAGAAAAAAAAATGAAAAGAAAAATGATCCTAATAGTATTGTACTGATGTTAAATTTCCTTCCTATTTTAATCATTAATCATTGTTAACTATGTTAATTATACTTATTACCATTAACATTTACATAATTGTAGGCATGGCAATCAAACTCAATGAAAGATTTTTGATAGGGTCCTGGATGCAAAAAAATAAAAGAGCTCTAAAAGTTCTGTGGATAGTTGGAAAATTTGAATGTGGGTCATAAAATAGATAATAGTACTTATTGGTGTTAAATCTCCTTGATACAATTGGCACAATTGTGTTATAATTATGTAAAAGACTGACTTTATTTTAAGAGGTACATATTCAAGAATTCAGAGCAGACATGTGTCCTACAGACAGCGATATGCTGTCAATGAGTCAGGAAAACAATCAGAGAAAGGGGGGAAATGGCAAAATGATACAGCTGATTAATCTTCATGATGGAAATATGGATGTTCATTATACTATTCTCTCAATTTTTTTTGAGACAGAGTCTCACTTTGTAGTTCAGGCTGGCCCTGAGCCCATTATGTAGCACAGGCTGGCCTCAAACTCACGCCAGTCCTTCTGCCTCTGCCTCCCAAGTGCTGAGATTACAGGCGTGAGCCACCACACCCGGCTTCTATCTCAATTTTTATATAGGTTAAAATTTTTCATACCCATGATAAATGTATATATTATGTATTATAAATATATACTAATAAAATATTTTGATAACAAATTGTAGGCCCAGCATGGCGGTACATGCCTGCAATCTTACACTCAGAAGGCCGAGACAAGATTGCTGTAAATTTGAGTGAGTTCAAGGTCAGCCTGAACTACACATCAAGACTTTGTATCAAAAAAATATTTTTAGGCCATGTATGGTGGTTCACACCAGTAGTCTCAGCACTTGGGAGGCTGAGGCAGGAGGATTGCCATGAGTCAAGGACAGCCTGGGCTACATAGTGAGTTTAAGGCCATCCTGAACTACATAACAAAATCCTGCCTCAATAAAAATTTTTAAGTAAATCGTCTTTTCAAAATAAAAATTCAGGGAAAAATAACTGTATTTAGTTAAGTAACACACATGTCTATTTTATTACATTTGTTAAGAGCTTAGAGGGACAATATCTTATAGATCTAAAATAAGCAGTATGTATGTGATTGGAAATGTTTCAGTGCCTTGATATAAGTATGTTAAACATCACATTGCTGTAGTGTACTACTTTTGTAAATTTCCCAAATTGCCATCATGATACATTTAACGTAGACTTCAAATACTCTTCACTCCTATGAGAAGCTTCCAAAATCAGAAACAGTTGTTCTAAGAAATGTGATAGAGCCATACTACCGAAACTGCTATATACATTCAATGCAATGCCAATTGAAATTCCAACACTATATTTCACAGAACTAGAAAAAAGAATCCAAAAATTCATTTGGAACCACAAGAGACCTAGAATAGCAAAAGCCATTATAGGCAACAGTCACATGGCACCAGGTGTAACAATTCCCAATTTGAAACTATACTACAAAGCCACTGTGATAAAATCAGCATGGTACTGGCAAAGAAATAGGCCTGAGGATCAATGGAACAGACTGGAAGACACAAAAACAAATGCAGATGTACTCAGCTACCTCATCTTCGACAAAGGAGCTCACCATCCTCAGTGGAGGAAAGATAGCCTCTTTAATAAATGGTGTTG